TTAAAGCCACCTTGGCAAACTGGCCAAGAAACTTCAAGTTTTTGGCTGAAACTATCACCTACTGGATTACTAATTAGAATCACTCTCAAATCTCTCCAATTAAGCCCTTATGAAATGCTCTATGGGAGACCACTTCTAACTTCAGATCTGGACACTGATCCTTAAACACAGAAAATAATTAAATGTATCACCAATCTAGGTCAGGTACAGAAGGCTTTACTGGAATATGGTGAAAAAAATCCTTCCAGCACCAGACTCTGCAACTCATTTCCCTAAAATTCAAACTGGTGATTATGTGTTAAAGTTTGGAAAAAGGAATCACCTTCAGATCAGCTTCTCTCTAAATGGAGGAGGCTCTACAAGGTTCTTTTAAGCATACCCATGGATGTCAAGGACATGCACCTTGGGTTCACTTATCAAGAATTAAACCTGTTGCTTCCTAGACTTTACAAGATCAAGAAGTCAAGGAGACAGACCTGTGATCAATACTCCTGCGAGTCTTTGGAGGGCTTGTGGATACTCTTCAGGAAGAATAAAAAGGCTGATTGAAGAAAAATTAAATAACTTTATTCTGCTTCAATATATCCTCTCATAACAGTATTATGTCTGCTAAAAACAAAGTCAGACAAAATTTTTTTTTTTAACCCTTATGCAGTTCTCCATGGGAGAACTAATGTTTTTCTTGTCTGGGCCCAGAAATATGACAAAAACATTAACGAATGTGCACGAGTTGGTGGACAATTGCTCACTTCTAGTGCATCTGAGCTACTATGGTGGGTGCTCCTCTACAGGGAAAATGATTTGATAAAGCTTCAAAAATCTGTAGAACAGCTACAAAGTGCAGCAACAATTTTAAAGCTTGTTACCTAGTCTAATGTCTCTCAGTGGCCAATAAATGAGACTCTTCATCAAAAAGACCATGAGAACATCTTTTCTCTAGACATAATTAGTACTCAGATATGAAGAAAGAGATCCTTATCTAGCCCAGACTCCTAAAATTCCCATCCATGATTAAAGATAACCATTGACTCATGGACAAATATTTTCAGGTCTGGGATGAACATATATGGCTGAGATCTATTATGTGGCAGCTCAGCCTGCTAGTACCCTTTTGTTGGGAACCAAAAAATGGTCTCTCTCTCTCTCTCTCTCTCTCTCTCCCTCTGTGTATATATATATATATATATATATTTATGATAAATAGAGCAATGCCACCAGATATGAGATGGATTCCTACACAAAGCTGTAATCACACTACAGTGTTAAGAGACACTGACTTGTCTGCTACTGAGTGGAAGACAACAGCTCAAATAAGATGGCCAGCCCCAAACAGTACCCAGAGGCCCTGTGGTACAAATTTTTGGCTTTGGTTGTCTCCAGAGAGACAGGCACTCTGGTCGCTGTCAGAGCAGCACAAGGAAGGTAAATGGATGCCCAGGGAACACCAGAAAGTTCCCCTTCAGACCTCTCCAGAATCCAGCTGGGAACATCAGCCAAATCCTGGTGAGTCAACTCCTGGTGGCTTCATGTGGCAAATGGGACTTCTCTGTAATCAACAGCAAGGCATCATCAAATTGCTTGTCGTTTTTAAAAGAAGAGCACACTTCCACAGACCATTCCCATCTTAATAAAAGATGCAGGTCTACTATATTCCAAATGTCTGGAATTGAGTAGGGAAGTGGTTCTTTTAACCATTAGCTTCTCTGGAGAAAAACCCTTTTAAGAGAACAAATGGCAAGAAGCATAGTTTTGGACAAATCCACCCGTAAGCCCCTCTGGAAGTCCACTGTCATAAATGAACTTTAGCTAAATGAAGAGGAGAGGCAGCCACATGTCATCTGTAAAGGTCTGGTCCCAGCCCAGGGAGAACCAGGTGCCATCCAGGATGAACCATGACTCCCAAGCTGTCAAACTGTAGAGAGGACCCACATCTAAAAGTCTGTAGTTCTGACACTGCTCCTGGTCACTGGTTTCTTATCATGGCTTTTTGCTTGTGTGCTTGCTTGTTTTCAGTGATGGGGATAAATCTCAGAGCCTCCTGCATGCTAAGCAAGTGATCTACCACTGAGCTACACTCCCAGCCCTACCATGACTATTCTTACGACTTTATGAAAGAATTAATATTTCTGTTTATGTCACTGGATGGTTTAATCTAGATGTCCCACCAATACCTCATGTGCTCATAGATGGGGCTTTTGAGAGGTGACTGGATCATGGGTGTGAGATACTCATCAGTGGATTAATGTGATGATAAGCTTATAGCCAAATGTGATGTTTGGAGGTGAAGCATAGTTGGAGGAGGTGGGTCACTAGGGGTGTGGCCTGGCAGGATCTATTTACTTCCCTGCTCCTTGAGTTCTATATCCAGCTACCATGCCATGAGCATTTCTTACATGTCCCTCTGACAGGTTGCCCTGCTTTTGAGCCTTCTGACTATGGATGGAAACAGCTATAAACTGAGTCAAAATAAACACCTCCTTCCTGAAGTTGTGGGTGTGAGGTATTTTGTCTCAGCAACAAGAAAGCAATTAAAATAGATTTTGGTACCACAAGTGGGGTCATTGCTATGATGCTACCTGTCTTGGTCCTGAACCTGGGCAAAAACTTCTGGAAGGGCCATTTGTACACTGCTGTCTTTACATCCCAGGGATTAATCACACTTAATCACAGTGCCTGAGTTTTTCAGTGTACTATTGAATTTGGCTTGCAGTATTTTTTTTTCATCTATATTCATCAGTGACATCAACTTGAAATTTCCTGTTGTTGTTGTCTGCATCTGGTTTTGGCATCAAGGTAATGCTAGGATTGTAGAATGAGCTTAGAGGGATTCCCTCACCTTCAAGTTTTTAAAAACAATCTGAGCAAGGTCTATATAAATTCTTTAAATATTTGATGAAATTCTTCAGTAGAGCCATTAGGTCTGGTGCTTTTCTTTGATAGAATACTTTTTATTATTTATTCAACCTTACTGCTTCTTATTGGTCTGTTCAGGTTTTCTACAGCTTCATGATTCAATTTTGGTAGCTTTTATGTGTCCAGGAATTTATTAATTTCTAGATTTTACAATTTGTTGGCATATAGTTGTCATAATCTAATAATCCTTCATACTTTTGTGGTATCAATTGTAATGTCTCTTTTTTCATTCCTGTTTTTGTTTTCTAAATCTTTCTCTTTTATTCTTAGTCTTGCTAAAGATATTTTTATTTTATCTTCAAAAAACAAATTCTCCACTGATCTTTAAGTTTCTACTTTCTTTTTGTGTTGTAATTCTTATTATTTCTTTCCTTTGACTAATTTTGGATTTACTTGATTAAACTTCCTTGAAATGAATTGTTAGGTTGTTCGCTCAAGGTCTCTCTTCTTAAATATAGGTATTTACTGGTATCAATTTCCCTTTTAGAAGTATTTTTGCTGCATTCCATAAGTTTTGGCGTGTTACCATTCTCATTTGTCTCAAGAAACCTTTTCAGCTTTAATTTCTTCAGTGATGCTTGGGCTTTTCAGGAGCATGTTGAATTTCCATGTATTTATGGTTTCCAGAGTTCTAGTTGTTGATTTCCAGTTTCATTCTCTATGGCAGAAAATATACTCGGTATTATTTCAATTTTTAAAAATTTATCAAGACTTATTTTGTGGCCTAATATATGATCTATCATGGAGAATATTAAATACACAGGTGACAAGAATGTTTTTGTAGTTGTTCTGCCTCCAGGCTTACTGATTCTTCAGCTTCATCAAGCTGGTTGTTAGAAATTTATATTGTATTTTGATATTCAGCCATTGCATTCTTTATTCCTAGGATTTTTATTTGATATTTGTTGTATAAAGATATTTCCTTTTCTTTGGCAGACTTCTTTTCTTCATTATTGTTTTCCAAATTTCATTTAATATTTCATCTGTATATTCTTGGAGTTCATTTTACTTTTTTGAGGTTTTTATGGAGACAGGGTCTCACTATGTAGTTCATACTGGCCTTGAACTCATTATGTAGCCTAAGCTAGTTTTGAACTTGCAGCATTCCTCCTGCCTTTTATGCTAGGAGAGCATGCAATGTGTGTAATTAGTGAAAGGAAAAAATGCAAGCAAAATTGTCTACCTCCAGCCAAAATCAGTAAAGATTAAAAGCCACCAAGAGTTATGAACACAGATGAATTGAAAGAATATTCTGATAAACTAAAAAATTATTGGAGAAGCTGCTTCACTAGAACTAATGGTTAACATCCAGAACTAGAGCTCAATGAAGTGTATCTGTGCAATAAAATAACACATAATCAATATATATTTTAGAGATATACACGATAAATTATTTCAAATGGAAGGGAAGAAAGCAATAAATACATAAAGTGTTAAATATGCTTACTGAATATATTTTAGGCATTAGCTGGGAAGAAAAGAATATTACTTTAAATTAGATGTTGGCAGGAGGAACTAAGAGTTTACGAGTTCATAGTAGGAAACCAAAAGACCATATCCTAAAAAGTGGGGACTATAGGTATTTGTAAATATTAGTGTGAAGTAAGCTAGTTGAACAAAAATAAAAACCTTCCTGTATCAAATATATAACATAGAAAGCTGGGTGTGGTGGTGCATACCTGTAATCCCAGCACTTGGGAGGCTGAGGTAGGAGGATTTCTGCAAGTTTGAAACCAGTCTCGGCCACAAATAGCCAACCAAAGTGGAAGTATGCATGTGTTTGTATTTCTGCACGGATGTAGATACAGGCATGTCCATTCATATTTAATTATAGAATAACATGGGAGAACTATAGAACATATTGGCATCACTAACAGACATAAAAAGGTTTAACTCTCTAAGTGAAAAAATATTTTAGATTGGCCAACAAGAAAAACCCAACCCTCTTCTATATAACAAAAAACAAAAGCCATCAGAGCAATTGAATCAAAGAGATTAAAAATAAAAAGAATGGTCATCATGCTGTCATGCCAGCCAAATACGTGGCCTTTAGCAACACATTAAAGTTTTCAGCTAAATCTTCTTACCAGTTTACGTTGTATTAAGCAGTATCCTCCTGGCATAAGCAAATGTTCTATCCATTTCTTCCTGTAGACACTTATGTCTCTCCAGACGCTGGCTTAGTTGTTTATCCAGGGCTTTCCCAATAAGAAAACTAATGGGGAAATAAAAGCCATTAATTTGTAGTTTTCCTAGACTTTTGCTGTTTTAAGGGTGGGAGTAATATTACCTCCAGTTCTGTGTATTACCAAGGTGAAGCTGAAGTTGGTACAACCAATTTTAAAAAGAGGAGTAGCCCCAAAATTTCACCTACACATAAACACCTTAGATACTTGGGTCTACTTGTGTCAGGAGATAAATAAAAAATCAGAAACTTTCACGATAATCAGACAAAAGAAACAATCCATATATCTTATCTATCAGTAGTCAAATGAAAAAAAGTTATGGGATATTCACATACTAGACTATTACACAAAAGGGAAAACAAATAAATTAAGACTGTGCAGCAATATGAATAAAACAGAAACATAATGTTGAGTAAAAGGAACAGAGAATGACACTACATGTTGGGTGATTCCATTTGTATGGTATTGAAAAGTAGAAAAATTCTTTCTTAGGTAGTGCCTTAGAGGAAAATCAAGAGATCCTTAACTACTATTGCCCCAGAAAGGACAAGAGCTGGGAAAAGATGATAGTAACAACCGTTCCCTTCCAACATTAGACATTAGGACAGCATTACTGACGGAAAGAATTTGGATCCAGGCATGTGAAATGGGAGCCTGGTGTTGCAGGAGCGTCATAATCTGTAGGTTATTTCTCAAACACCTAGAATTTAATTACTCTGATCTGTTCCTAAATCCCATTATACCCATGTCCATAAAAACAATGGGGACAGAGAGCTGTGCCAGTTTCTCAGTTACTTACTGTTCTAATTTTTCATCTTTTCCTTCTGTGCCTTTTGTTCTCTAGTATAAATTTGACAGAAGCTAGGGAAGAGAAGGAGAGGTGAGTCAGGGAAGGTTCTGGAATGGAGAGCAAAATGTTTTCGTTCTGGATGAGTGTGTCTGGCATTTTGGAGAACACTTAAGAATAATTCGGCTTAGACTATTCCAACTGTCAAATAACCCTGGAACAAGTCTTCCTAACCTTTGCTAATGCAGATAATATAAAAGGTGATTATGAGAAAAAAGGTGCCATGAGACTGAGCTGCAAGTAGTGATTCATGGCTTTCTTTGACTAAACCTGGATACACGGGTGGATGTTCCTCTGTGTGTGTGTGTGCGTTGATATATTTATGTAATAAAGATTTCCCCAAAGGAGAAAGTTTTCCCATTCTTTGCAGACTTAGGTGAGTGTCCTGCAAATCCAGCCTGTGCAAATCTGAAAGCATTTAGTGAAGTGTCCTGTTTTCCCTTCTAGAAATATGAAAAGACAAGCATTTATCAGTGTGGAAAAAGGGACCTATTGCTGTCTTCTGAATATTTGAATAAGAGCACCCAGAAATGATGGTGCTGTAATATGGGAGAGCTTGAGGAGCAAAAGTGCAGTGTTACAGTGGCTGATTATGGATAAAAATAGAGCAAGGCCCGAAGCAAACCTGTTCCCCACGGATACGCACCTACACCTGCAAACACAGACAGACACATACTGGTTTTGTGCCAGAAAGCCGAAAGTCAGTTTCAAAAATTAAGAGGGTAAGTTGGGTTATTACTTCCAAAACTCACATCAAGATTCTATGTAACAGGGCTGGGGATTTAGCTCAGCGGCACAGCGCCTGCCTGGCAAGCGCAAGGTCGTGAGTTCAGTTCCCGGTACCAAAAAAAACAAAAAAACAAAAAAACAAAAAAACACCAAAAAACAAAAAACAAAATCAGCCTCATGTGAGCTTTAAAGAAAAAAAAATTCTATGTAAGATAATCTTTAATCTAGAAAATTTAGAGTCCAAGAACAAAATTAAAGAATATTCTTTTAAAATAGCATTTTTTCCCCTCACCATCTTTAAAAGGAAAGAGAAATGAAGTGGGAAAAGCAGGAAACAGGGACCTTTTATTCTGATTCTTATTTGGGCAAATGGAGTTCCCTATAAGCAACGTGAGAAATTTAACTCCTGTTCAGGATTTATGGTCAAATAAGCAGACAATTAGGATGGTCATAATTCAATAGCAAAATTAACACTCTGTGACACTGCTTTATGCTGGAGTGGCTTCATCAAGGTGTCTGTATTCTCAACTTGATATTTGAGTAATAAAGTACATCCAGAAGTTATTGTCTGTTCTGTTGCTTTTAACTGTCTTTGACTTCTATTTCCATACCTGTCATAGATCTCTGGAAACCTATTTCAGTACTTACATAATTTATTTCCAGGCTGCCCATCTCTAAGGGTGGGTATTTTATTTAGCTCTAATTTACATGTTATTCTGGGCCTCTACATCATAGTATCTGTGCCTCCGACTTTCCCAGGAGTGGGTTTATAAAGGTCTCTCAGTTAGCTACACTGATGACCTTCTTTAAAATCGTTCTAGTAATCTCTTTCACTGTCCCTTCCTGTCTTCCATTTATCTTTTCATCTCTCAGCAAGAGTCAGGTCTTCTACTAACGACGTCCAATGCATTGGTTGTTTAATCCTACCACCACCTTTATAGGAACACTGGTGCTGCTATTACCTTCATTGTCCACGCCAGTCAGAGGTTTAAGGCTTTTGACTCGGTAAGCAGATATGCAAGCCAGTGTCCCTATCAGGAAACAGGAAACCACACAGCAATTTGAACGTAGAAAGTTAAAAAGTTATTAATCATATAATGGGATTACCTTAATAAGGAGGTGCTCTTATTGAGACTACTCTCAAGAACAGGCCGCTCTACAGCTCAGAGAAAATACTCAAGGAAGAAGCCAACTTGCAAGAAAGTCTCCCTGTTGCCAAATGAGAACACCTATTGGGTCTGGCAAGCAGGAAACACTTCTGTGGGGGATGCTGGTAGCTCGCTCTACGAAGCAGACACCTGAGGCATCTGTGCAACTCACTAGCAACTTGCATTTACTGCGGGGTGAGTCCCACGGAATGTCTACACCTGCTGCTGGCAGCAGCACAGAGCCAGAAAAACCCGAGGAGAAAACCCTTCATTACAAAGAGGAGCCCTTAGACTCCAGCGCCCTCTCCTGACAAAGCTGCACCTCGGGTCTGTTCAAAACCGTTTGGCGCTGAGAGGTAGTAAGTTGCTGCTTGGCAGGGCGCGCGAATTTGCCCTCTGATGGAACCCCAAAACTGTGATTCTAACCCTTAAGCTACACTGGAGACGGGCACTGGGATGGGGTGGACCAAGAGGAGCGAGCAGTAGTGAACGTGGGGAGCCTGAGCAGCGGGTGGAGGTGGAATCAGCTGGGTGCTGCGTGGGTCAGGGCAATGACCTGGCTGAAGCCGGTGGGGAGTCCCGCGGGCTGCTGGGTCCGGCACTGAAGCAGCACGCGCAAGGCGCAGGCGGGGAAGGGAACAGTGCCTTGGGCCGGGTTTGCCCCACGACGGGCGCCTTCGGGTGGCCTGCACGAGGGGTTTACAGAACCCTGTGCACGTGTCTCTGAAAGTTCCCTTAAAGTGAGACTGAAAAACGATCCCCCCGTACTCCACCCGCCAGGTATAGCTTCTTGCTCTAATGTCGGTAAGACTGGCAGCTCCGTCCTGTAAACAGTTTGCGTCATCTGTTCCGGCAGGATTCACACGGCTCCGTCTTCTTTCAAGGATAATTTGTGCACGGCTTTGTCTGGCTTGTGTACCCTCGCCCCGCCACGCCCCCCGTTTCTGAAGACCAACCCAAACCCTTAGCAAAATGCGTGAAGCTCGCGCCCTTCCGTCGTTCTGGCGCTCAGCCACTCCGGCCAGCGTAAGGTCAAGCTGAGCCAGCCTAACCGAAAACCCAGGAAGCCCTTTTCCCCTGCGGTCTCTCCGATCTTTTGGATTCTACAGCGCTCTAAACCCAAACAGACCCCGGAAGCGGGGCGTCACTGAAGCCCCTCACTCTCCCTGCCGCCGGCGCTGATCCGCTCAGGGAGAACCTGACGGGATGGAGCGGAGGTCGGAAGGACGCGGACCACAGGGGAGGCGCCCCGAGGGTCCCGCAGAAGGGCGCGGGCAGCGGGCGAAGGGGTGGAGCGGAGCCCAGGGCCCGGGGCCGCTCGGGGGTGCGGGGCAGGGGCGAGAGCGCGCTGGGGCTTGCGGCGGTGCGCTCCCGAGCCGGGAAGGAACCGCGGCAAGGCCGCCCGCACCACTCCCACGCCCCTATCGCGCCCTTCTCTTCCGTCCACGGC